GAAGGGTCCATGGATGGAGAGGGGACAGTGAAGGGTGCATGGATGGAGAGGGGACAGTGAAGGGTCAAGGGTCCATGGATGGAGAGGGGACAGTGAAGGGTGCATGGATGGAGAGGGGACAGTGAAGGGTGCATGGATGGAGAGGGGACAGTGAAGGGTCCATGGATGGAGAGGGGACAGTGAAGGGTCATGGATGGAGAGGGGACAGTGAAGGGTGCATGGATGGAGAGGGGACACAGTGAAGGGTCCATGGATGGAGAGGGGGACAGTGAAGGATGCATGGATGGAGAGGGGACAGTGAAGGAGTCCATGGATGGAGAGGGGACAGTGAAGGGTCCATGGATGGAGAGGGGACAGTGAAGGGTCCATGGATGGGAGAGGGGACAGTGAAGGGTGCATGGATGGAGAGGGGACAGTGAAGGGTCCATGGATGGAGAGGGGACAGTGAAGGGTCCATGGATGGAGAGGGGACAGTGAAGGGTCCATGGATGGAGAGGGGACAGTGAAGGGTCCATGGATGGAGAGGGGACAGTGAAGGGGGGTGCATGGATGGAGAGGGGACAGTGAAGGGTGCATGGCATGGCCATGGAGGGGACAGTGAAGGGGTCCATGGATGGATGGGGACAGTGAAGGGTCCCATGGATGGAGAGGGGACAGTGAAGGGTCCATGGATGGAGAGGGGACGGTGAAGTCCAAGGATCCCATGGATGGAGAGGGGACAGTGAAGGGTCCATGGATGGAGAGGGGACAGTGAAGGACATGGTGAGGGGGTGAAGGGTGGATGGGAGAGGGGACAGTGAAGGGTCCATGGATGGAGAGGGGACAGTGAAGGGTCCATGGATGGAGAGGGGACAGTGAAGGGTCCATGGATGGAGAGGGGACAGTGAAGGGTGCATGATGGAGAGGGGGACAGTGAAGGGTGCATGGATGGCATGGAGAGGGGACAGTGAAGGGTCCATGGATGGAGAGGGGACAGTGAAGGATGCATGGATGGAGAGGGGACAGTGAAGGGGGCCATGGATGGGAGGAGGGGACAGTGAAGGGTCCATGGATGGAGAGGGGGGACAGTGGAAGGGAAGGGTCCATGGATGGAGAGGGGACAGTGAAGGGTCCATGGATGGAGAGGGGACAGTGAAGGGTCCATGGATGGAGAGGGGACAGTGAAGGGTCCATGGATGGAGAGGGGACAGTGAAGGGTCCATGGATGGAGAGGGGACAGTGAAGGGTCCATGGATGGAGAGGGACAGTGAAGGGTGCATGGATGGAGAGGGGGGTGAACATGGTGAGAGGGGGTGAAGGGAATGTCCATGGATGGAGAGGGGACAGTGAAGGGTCCATGGATGGAGAGGGGACAGTGAAGGTGCATGGATGGAGAGGGGACAGTGAAGGGATGCATGGATGGAGAGGGGACAGTGAAGGGTCCATGGATGGAGAGGGGACAGTGAAGGTGCATGGATGAGAGGGGACAGTGAAGGGTCCATGGATGGAGAGGGGACAGTGAGGGTCCATGGACAGTGGAGAGGGGACAGTGAAGGGTGCATGGATGGAGAGGGGACAGAAGGGTCCATGGATGGAGAGGGGACAGTGAAGGGTCCATGGATGGAGAGGGGACAGTGAAGGGTGCATGGATGATGGAGAGGGGACAGTGAAGGGTGCATGGATGGAGAGGGGACAGTGAAGGGTGCATGGATGGAGAGGGGACAGTGAAGGGTCCATGGATGGAGAGGGGACAGTGAAGGGTCCATGGATGGAGAGGGGACAGTGAAGGGTCCATGGATGGAGAGGGGACAGTGAAGGTGCATGGATGGAGAGGGGACAGTAAGGAATGTCCATGGATGGATGGAGGGGACAGTGAAGGGATGCATGGATGGAGAGGGGACAGTGAAGGGTGCATGGATGGAGAGGGGACAGTGAAGGGTCCATGGATGGAGAGGGGACAGTGAAGGGTGCATGGATGGAGAGGGGACAGTGAAGGGTGCATGGATGGAGAGGGGACAGTGAAGGGTCCATGGATGGAGAGGGGACAGTGAAAAGGTCCATGGATGGAGAGGGGACAGTGAAGGGTCCATGGATGGAGAGGGGACAGTGAAGGGTGCATGGATGGAGAGGGGACAGTGAAGGGTGCATGGATGGAGAGGGGACAGTGAAGGGTCCATGGATGGAGAGGGGACAGTGAAGGGTCCATGGATGGAGAGGGGACAGTGAAGGGTCCATGGATGGAGAGGGGACAGTGAAGGGTCCATGGATGGAGAGGGGACAGTGAAGGGTCCATGGATGGATGGAGAGGGGACAGTGAAGGGTCCATGGATGGAGAGGGGACAGTGAAGGGTCCATGGATGGAGAGGGGACAGTGAAGGGTCCATGGATGGGAGGGGACAGTGAAGGGTCCATGGTGGAGAGGGGGTCCATGGATGGAGAGGGGACAGTGAAGGGTCCATGGATGGAGAGGGGACAGTGAAGGGTCCATGGATGGAGAGGGGACAGTGAAGGGTCCATGGATGGAGAGGGGACAGTGAAGGGTCCATGGATGGAGAGGGGACAGTGAAGGGTCCATGGATGGATTGAGGGGACAGTGAAGGGTCCATGGATGGAGAGGGGACAGTGAAGGGTCCATGGATGGAGAGGGGACAGTGAAGGTCCATGGATGGAGAGGGGCATGGATGGATGGAGGGGACGGTGAAGGGTCCATGGATGGAGAGGGGACGGTGAAGGGTCCATGGATGGAGAGGGGACAGTGAAGGGTCCATGGATGGAGAGGGGACGGTGTGAAGGGTGCATGGATGGAGAGGGGACAGTGAAGGGTCCATGGATGGAGAGGGGACAGTGAAGGGTCCATGGATGGAGAGGGGACAGTGAAGGGTCCATGGATGGAGAGGGGACAGTGAAGGGTCCATGGATGGAGAGTGAAGGGGGACAGGTGAAGGGTCCATGGATGGAGAGGGGACAGTGAAGGGTCCATGGATGGAGAGGGGACAGTGAAGGGTCCATGGATGGAGAGGGGACAGTGAAGGGTGCATGGATGAGAGGGGACAGTGAAGGATCCATGGATGGATGGAGGGGACAGTGAAGGGTCCATGGATGGAGAGGGGACAGTGAAGGGTCCATGGATGGAGAGGGGACAGTGAGGGGTGCATGGATGGAGAGAGGGGACAGTGAAGGGTCCATGGATGGGAGAGGGGACAGTGAAGGGTGCATGGATGGAGAGGGGACAGTGAAGGGTCCATGGATGGAGAGGGGACAGTGAAGGGTCCATGGATGGAGAGGGGACAGTGAAGGGTCCATGGATGGAGAGGGGACAGTGAAGGGTCCATGGATGGAGAGGGGACAGTGAAGGGTCCATGGATGGAGAGGGGACAGGTGAAGGGTCCATGGATGGAGAGGGGACAGTGAAGGGTCCATGGATGGAGATGGAGATGGATGGGAGGGGACAGTGAAGGGTGCATGGATGGAGAGGGGACAGTGAAGGGTCCATGGATGGAGAGGGGACAGTGAAGGGTCCATGGATGGAGAGGGGGACAGTGAAGGGTCCATGGATGAAGGGGACAGTGAAGGGTCCATGGATGGAGAGGGGACAGTGTCCATGGATGGAGAGGGGACAGTGAAGGGTCCATGGATGGAGAGGGGACAGTGGAAGGTCCATGGATGGAGAGGGGACAGTGAAGGGTCCATGGATGGAGAGGGACAGTGAAGGGTCCATGGATGGAGAGGGGACAGTGAAGGTCCATGGATGGAGAGGGGACAGTGAAGGGTCCATGGATGGAGAGGGGACAGTGAAGGGTCCATGGATGGAGAGGGGACAGTGAAGGGTCCATGGATGGAGAGGGGACAGTGAAGGGTCCATGGATGGAGAGGGGACAGTGAAGGGTCCATGGATGGAGAGGGGACAGTGAAGGGTCCATGGATGGAGGGGACAGTGAAGGGGGGTCCATGGATGGAGAGGGGACAGTGAAGGATGCATGGATGGAGAGGGGACAGTGAAGGGTCCATGGATGGAGGGGGACAGTGAAGGGTGCATGGATGAGAGGGGGTGGGGTCATGGATGGAGAGGGGACAGTGAAGGGTCCATGGATGGAGAGGGGACAGGGACAGGAAGGGTCCATGGATGGAGAGGGGACAGTGAAGGGTCCATGGATGGAGAGGGGACAGTGAAGGGTCCATGGATGGAGAGGGGACAGTGATTAGGGTCCATGGATGGACAGTGAAGGGTCCAGGGGAGGGGGACAGTGAAGGGTCCATGATGGAGGGGACAGTGAAGGGTCCATGGATGGAGAGGGGACAGTGAAGGGTCCATGGATGGAGAGGGGACAGTGAAGGGTGCATGGATGGAGAGGGGACAGTGAAGGGTCCATGGATGGAGAGGGGACAGTGAAGTGAAGGGTCCATGGATGGAGAGGGGACAGTGAAGGGTCCATGGATGGAGAGGGGACAGTGAAGGGTCCATGGATGGAGAGGGGACAGTGAAGGGTCCATGGATGGAGAGGGGACAGTGAAGGGTCCATGGATGGGAGGGGGACAGTGAAGGGTCCATGGATGGAGAGGGGACAGTGAAGGGTCCATGGATGGAGAGGGGACAGTGAAGGGTCCATGGATGGAGAGAGGACAGTAAGGAGTTCATGGATGGAGAGGGGACAGTGAAGGGTCCATGGATGGAGAGGGGACAGTAAGGATTCCATGGGTAAAACGGGGATGGTGACAGCTGAACATGGAGGTGATGTAATGCATGTTGCTTCTAGGTTCATACTAGCTAGGGAAGATCAACAACAAACGCCTTACCCAGTGACACCCACGATGGGGGTCCAGGGCCTGCAGGTGGGACACATGGAAGGGGGGAGTCCGGGATACATGGAAGGGGGGGGGGTAGTGGAACGAGTAACTACGGCGCAGTCATCTAGTATTACAAGATGAGGCAGATATTCATTGCTGGGATCAGTCATCCTGTAACGGGCGGTACATGGGAATGGTAAATCCATAATGGCGTCCGATGTTTCTCCTCCATGCAGAGCAGCTGGTGTTGGGCGCACACAAGGAGCTGCGACATAACTGGGACCAAGACTACGACGCCTTCATCCTCCCGCTTCTGGAAGACACGCAGCCATGCTACATCCTCTACCGCCTGGACAGCCAGAACGCACAGGGATTCGAGTGGCTCTTCCTGTCGTGGTCACCTGATCATTCTCCGGTACGTTCCCAGACCCCCTCTCTCCAAATAGAAAGGGAACTTGGAATAATAGAGTCCTGTGTATTCCTTCCTTGAATCTTGTGTACTTTGTGCATTTCTTCCGGATTTATTCCTCTGTAGTCACAAAGGATATAAATCCACTTGGTGAGCACCAAATGCGTCTGCAAACTCAGATATTACCTTTTAAAAGTAGCAGTGACATCATCACTATGGGAGGGGCCCAGCAGGCTCCACCCGCTACAGGTCGCCTGCAGAAAACTACAGGAGGTAGTGGAGACCAGACCATTCACTCAGCAGTAGGAGAGAGAGAGTAGAGCGGTGGGAGGGGCCAGCAAGCTCCACCCACTACAGACTGCCCGCAGAAAAATACAGAAGGGGGCGGAGACAAGACCAGTCCCCCTGCACAAGAAGAGAGAGCTGTAGTGAGCGGTCTTTATTACAGGAAGTCTCACGCTGGATGGTGGCACAGATCTGAAAGACACAAAGCTCAGGAAGACGCAGGACCGGTGGATTTATTATCCAGTTCAGCTTTAATCCTTAAAGAGGCGCTGTAATAGTTTTCTATTCAGCATCACTTTGGTCTGCATTCCATGTTAAGGGCTTGTTTACATTAGTGGATTGGTTGGAGGGGGCAGTAAAGATAGGAAATAGGTGGTTGAGCCACAGTTTTACCACCCTTGACCACCCACCTTAAGCTGTCATGGTGGCCTGAGGTGGTACACATGCCACAGCAAAATATATACCCCATGTTGCATTTGGTGGGCAGTGATTGGGGGCCCATAGTAACTGTGTAATGTGTGAGGTTATGGCACAGTGATGCGGGATTAGAACATGCGTCTATGAGCTGCCATATCCTGGTCAACTGCCCTCTGATAAGTGATCCACCATGGACGACCCTTTACTTTGTCAGGAAAGATTTATCACAGTCTCCTGGATTCTGTTGCAATTTTTTTTTATTTCGTCTTTCAATGTCGTAAATTTGTTTCTTGCGACAATAGAAATGTTTTTGATCCCAATACATAAAACTCGGACAGTTCTTCCCTCTCCTTCCCGTCTTCAGTCCATTCCAAACCAGAGCAAAGCTTTGGCTTTCTGGAGAGGAAATCACCTGTGTATCTGGAAATGTCCACCCCCTCCAATCCCCTCCATCCCTTCCATCCCCTCCATCCCTTCCATCCCCTCCATCCCTTCCATCCCTTCCATCCCTTCCATCCCTTCCATCCCCTCCATCCCTTCCATCCCTTCCATCCCCTCCATCCCTTCCATCCCCTCCATCCCTTCCATCCCCTCCATCTCCTCCATCCCTTCCATCCCTTCCATCCCCTCCACCCCCTCCATCCCCTCCACCCCCTTCCATCCACCCCCCTCCACCCCCTTCCATCCCCTCCACCCCCTTCCATCCCCTCCATCCACCCCCTTCCATCCCCTCCATCCCCTCCCCCCCTTCCATCCCCTCCACCCCCTTCCATCCCCTCCATCCCCTCCATCCCCTTCCATCCCCTCCATCCCCTCCATCCCCCTCCACCCCCTTCCATCCCCTCCACCCCTTCCATCCCCACCACCCACCCCCTTCCATCCCCTCCATCCCTTCCATCCCCACCATCCCCACCATCCCTCCATCCCCTTCATCCCTTCCATCCCCACCATCCCTTCCATCCCCACCATCCCTTCCATCCGCACCATCCCTTCCATCCGCACCAACCCTTCCATCCCCACCATCCCACCATCCCCTCCATCCCCTCCATCCCCTCCATCCCTTCCATCCCCTCCATCCCTTCCATCCCCTCCATCCCTTCCATCCCCTCCATCCCCTCCATCCCTTCCATCCCTTCCATCCCCTTCATCCCTTCCATCCCCACCATCCCCTCCATCCCCTCCATCCCTCCATCCCCTCCATCCCACCATCCCCACCATCCCTTCCATCCCCCTCCATCCCTTCCATCCCCTCCATCCCTTCCATCCCTTCCATCCCCTCCCATCCCTTCCATCCCCCTCCATCCCTTCCATCCCCTCCATCCCCACCATCCCTTCCATCCCCTCCATCCCCCCACCATCCCTCCCCCATCCCCACCATCCCCTCCATCCCCACCATCCCTTCCATCCTCTCCATCCCTTCCATTCCCTCCATCCCTTCCATCCCCTCCATCCCTTCCATCCCCACTATCCCTTCCATCCCCACCATCCCTTCCATCCCCCACCATCCCCACCATCCCTTCCATCCCCACCATCCCTCCATCCCCACCATCCCTTCCATCCCCCACCATCCCTTCCATCCCCACCATCCCTTCCATCCCCCTCCATCCCTTCCATCCCACCATCCCTTCCATCCTCACCATCCCTTCCCCATCCCCTCCATCCTTACCATCCCCTACATCCCTTCCATCCCTTCCATCCCTTCCATCCCCACCATCCCTTCCATCCCCACCATCCCTTCCATCCCCACCATTCCTTCCATCCCCACCATCCCTTCCATCCCCTTCCATCCCCTCCATCCCTTCCATCCCCCACCATCCCTTCCATCCCCACCATCCCTTCCATCCCCTACATCCCTTCCATCCCTACCATCCCTTTCCATCCCTTCCATCCCTTCCATCCTTCCACCCCACCATCCCCCACCCCACCATCCCTTCCATCCCCACCATCCCTTCCATCCCCACCATCCCTTCCAACCCCACCACCATCATCCTTCCAACCCCACCATCCCTTCCATCCCCCCACCTTCCATCCCTTCCATCCCTCCATCCCTTCCCCATCCTTACCATCCCCTCCATCCCTTCCATCCCCTCCATCCCTTCCATCCCCTCCATCCCTTCCATCCCCTCCATCCCCTCCATCCCCTTCCATCCCTTCCATCCCTTCCATCCCCTGGACCAGAACTCCAGACATAGAACATTCTCATCCTTTTTTTGTATTGCAAACAGGTGCGGCTGAAAATGTTGTACGCAGCAACCAGGGCGACTGTGAAGAAAGAGTTCGGGGGAGGACACATCAAAGATGAAATGTTTGGGACGCTAAAGGTCAGTGTGTTTGGGCCATGCGTTCTGTTCATTTGACCAACAGTGCAGTAGTGTTGTGCTTTCCTGGTCTCTGTGTGTAGACAAGCAGAGGTAAAGAAGTAGGCCCCACAAAGGTCCATCAGATGGCCCAACAAGGGTCCATCATGTGGCCCCACAAAGGTCCATCAGGTGGCCCTTCAAAGGTCTATCGGGTGGCCCCACAAGGGTCCATCAGATGGCCCCACAAGAGCCCATCAGATGGCCCCACAAGGGTCTTTCAGGTGGCCCCAACATGGGTCCATCAGGTGACCCAGCAAGGTTGGGAAGGAATGAGGTAGCTTGCTGTTCATATATCAATTGTGTGATAAGTGATGCCTAAGTAAAGTCCGTTATATATTAATTCAGTATAGCAAGGGGTGAGGTAAAGAAATAGGCCCCACAAAGGTCCATCAGGTGGCTCTTCAAAGGTCAATCAGGTGGCTCTTCAAAGGTCAATCAGGTGGCCCTTCAAAGGTCAATCAGGTGGCCCTTCAAAGGTCAATCAGGTGGCCCTTCAAAGGTCCATCAGGTGGCCCCAACATGGGTCCATCATGTGGCCCCAACATGGGTCCATCATGTGGCCCCAACATGGGTCCATCATTTGGCCCCAACATGGGTCCATCATGTGGCCCCAACATGGGTCCATCATGTGGCCCCAACATGGGTCTATCAGGTGGCCCCAACATGGGTTTATCAGGTGGCCCCAACATGGGTTTATCAGGTGGCCCCCAACATGGGTTTATCAGGTGGCCCCAACATGGGTTTATCAGGTGGCCCCAACATGGGTCCATCAGGTGGCCCCAACATGGGTTTATCAGGTGGCCCCAACATGGGTTTATCAGGTGGCCCCAACATGGGTCCGTCAGGTGGCCCTAACATGGGTTCATCAGGAGGCCCCAACATGAGTCCGTCAGGTGGCCTCAACATGGGTCCATCAGGTGACCCAACAAAGGTCCATCAGGTGGCCCAGCAAGGTGGGGAAGGTAACCAGGTAGCTTGCTGTTCATATATCAATTGTGTGATAAGTGATGCCTAAGTAAAGTCGGTTATATATGAATTCAGTATAGCAAGGGGTGAACCTTAATATCAAGAAGAGCCAGATGGACCTTGACCACAGATCTTATTTATTGTTCATAGAGGTGTACAGCCAACACATCAGGTTAGTTAAGAGTCCCCTTTGTGAGGGCTGTCTGTGGTCCAGATCTTCTGTATTATCTGCCCTCCATGTCCCTACATTTTCTTACACAGGGGGTTGCGAATGCCTTTAATGGACAGACTGGGGCACAGATCTCCCCTCTGACTGTGAGAATTCATTAGTGGTTAGTCCAGAATCCACCAAACATTGGGGGGATCAGCTGTGGGAGGAGCACACATCACATCTGTAGAAAGGCCGGGTCACTGATGAACCTGAGGATGTTGTGTTGGATGTGTAGATATCTCTGCATTTCCAAGATGTAACTGTATTTGTCTGTGTGGCAGGAAGACGTTGCCCTCCACGGTTACCAGAAACACGTCTCTTCTTGTGCTGCGCCGGCACCACTGACCGCGGCTGAGCAGGAACTGCAGCAGATCAAGATAAACGAGGTAAGGGTTGGGGGTGGTGGTGGTTGGGTTGGGTTGGGGGGGTGGTGGTGGTGGGGTTGGGTTGGGTGGTGGTGGTGGTGGTGGTGGGGTTGGGTTGGGTTGGGGGTGGTGGTGGTGGGGTTGGGTTGGGTTGGGGGGGTGGTGGTGGTTGGGTTGGGTTGGGTGGTGGTGGTGGTGGGGGAAGAGGGGAGAGGGATCGGTGAGCACAGAGTGGTGTTCCTCTCCCTTGACCACGTCTCTTCTGCAGGTGAAGACGGAGATCAGTGTGGAGAGCAAACAGCAGACGCTGCAGGGGCTGTCCTTCCCGCTCAGGCCGGAGGCGGAGGAGGCCGTCCAGCTGCTGAAACAGAAGAAGATCAACTACATCCAACTGGTGAGTGACGAGCTCCCAGCCTCCCAGCCTCCCAGCCGGGGTTATGGGCCAAAATCTGCATTCCTTTTACTTTAATTTAGTTTTTTTTATTTTATTTTGTTTTGTTTTTTTGGTTTTTTTTATGTTTTTTTTTTTATTTCTTTTATAAATTTGATTCGTTTTATACTTTTAGTTTTATCTTTATTTTTTAGTGATAATTTTTTGTGTTGATATTCGTTTTATCTGGATTTTATATATATATTTGTTTATTTATTTTCCAAGTGGTGGGCGGAGTTATGCAAATACAACACCTTGATGGGTGGGAAACAGTCTGGGGGGGTTGGCGGGGGGGGGGGGGGAGGTTCTTAGGCTGTCTGTATTTGTATAGGTAACGCCAGGGCAATCCATTTGATACAAAGCTTGTCTCTGCCTCCTGCCCACCTCTGAGCACCATCTTTTGGTTCCACCCCGTACCCAGCGCCCCTTTTATAGAATACAGAACCAAGTATCGCTTTGTATGGAATTTGTTAATGATAAGCTGTAAAGTACATCCTTTGACAACACCCCCCTCAACAATAGATCCCCCCAAAACAAAACACCCCCTCCCCCAAGCAACAATAAATGCACTCCAGCATCAATAGACCCCCCCAGCAGTCAACAACAATAGACCCCGTCCTAAGCAGTATACCCCTCTTAGGAACAACTGACACCCCCAGCAACAATTGATCTCCCCTCAACAACCCCCCCCCAAGCAACAATAATTGCACTTCAGCATCAATAGAGCCCCCCCCCCCCCCCCCCCCAGCAGCCAACAACAATAGACCCAGCTCTAAACAGTATACCCCTCGCAGGAACAACTGACCCCCCAGCAACAATAGTTTCCACAGCAGCCAACTTCAATAGATCCTCCTGAACACCTCAGCATTCCTTGTTGTTACATATTTTCAGTGCTGGAGGTGCCGGAACTGCTGAAAAAAAGCCCCCTGGGTAACGCCCATGTGTGATGCTGAACCTCTACGATGGAAAGAACTGAAACCCAGTGAATGAAAGGGGCGGGGCTACAGTCAGGCTGGGGAGGAAAGGTCTAGACTGGATGCTGGATGTCCTCCAGCCAGGAAATGAGGCGGAGCTATATCTGACTGGCTGCAGCTTCTAATACACATTGTGAGAAACCCTCAGTGTGCGGTGACATCAGAGGAACCCATTCCAGTCCAGGGGAGGAGCCAATACACCTGTGCAAAACTGAAGGGGAGGAGCCAGTACACCTGTGCAAGACTGGAGGGGAGGAGCCAGTACACCTGTGCAAGACTGAAGGGGGAGGAGCCGGTACACCTGTGAAAGACTGGAGGGAAGGGGCTGGTACAGCTGTGCAAGACTGGAGGGGAGGAGTCGGTACACCTGAGCAAGACTGAAGGGGAGGGAGCCGGTACACCTGAGCAAGACTGAAGGGGAGGAGCCGGTACACCTGAGCAAGACTGAAGGGGAGGAGCCGGTACACCTGTGCAAGACTGGAGGGGAGGGGCCGGTACAGCTGTGCAAGACTGGAGGGGAGGAGCCGGTACACCTGAGCAAGACTGAAGGGGAGGAGCCGGTACACCTGAGCAAGACTGAAGGGGAGGAGCCGGTACACCTGTGAAAGACTGGAGGGAAGGGGCTGGTACAGCTGTGCAAGACTGGAGGGAAGGGGCTGGTACAGCTGTGCAAGACTGGAGGGGAGGAGCCGGTACACCTGAGCAAGACTGGAGGGGAGGGGAGGGGCCGGTACAGCTGTGCAAGACTGGAGGGGAGGAGCCGGTACACCTGTGCAAGACTGAAGGGGAGGAGCCGGTACACCTCTGCAAGACTGTAGGGGAGGAGCCGGTACACCTGTGCAAGACTGGAGGGGAGGAGCCGATACACCTCTGCAAGACTGGAGGGGAGGAGCCAGTACACCTGTGCAAGACTGAAGGGGAGGAGCCGGTACACCTGTGCAAGACTGAAGGGGAGGAGCCGATACACCTCTGCAAGACTGGAGGGGAGGAGCCAGTACACCTGTGCAAGACTGAAGGGGAGGAGCCGATACACCTCTGCAAGACTGGAGGGGAGGAGCCGGTACACCTGTGCAAGACTGAAGGGGAGGAGCCGATACACCTCTGCAAGACAGGAGGGGAGGCTAGAGGCAGGATTTAGCGAGATTCACCCATGAGCTGCCTCGTTACAGAGTGCAAATCCTCTTTCTATGTGATGGGTGAATCTTGGTTATCATTGGAATCTTTCGGTTATTCTGTATGCTGATTGGTGAATCCTTGGTTGAAATTCTCTCTGACAATCACATGGAAATCCTGTACAATACAGACGGGTGAATGTCCAGCAGGCAATCTGTCAACAATTCCTACTGAGTGGCTAGTGGTAGCCTGTGTGTGAAAAGGAGTGCAGTGCGCCACCTGGTGTCTATAAAGTAGAATGCACAACAGCCGTATAATATAATGTACAGTAATAAAGTATCAGTATAAATGTTTCTTTGGTCCTGGCCCCAATAGAGAAAACATGTAAAAGCCTCAGTACTTTCACCTTAAATAGACTGCAGATTTCCGAAATTTTAAAGGCATTGAAATTTCCCACTGATACAGATTTGTCACCCTGGACTCCGCGCTCCCATGTCACACATTGCTGTATATACATTGTACTGTATATAGGATCTGTGTATGTGATATAAAACTTCGGTAAACATTGCTCTTTGTGCTGTTTTTGTCTTCTTGTGTGTTTTTTTTTTTCTTTTGTTTGAGAACTTTCTTTGCTTTCAGAAATTGGATATAGAAAAGGAAACCATTGACCTGGTCCACACCAAGCACACGGACATCCAGGATCTACCGGCCAGAGTCCCCAAAGACTCGGCTCGCTATCACTTCTTTCTGTACAAACACTCCCACGAAGGAGACTACCTGGAGTCTATAGGTAGGTGAGGTGTATCGGGGAAGTGGAGTCTATAGGTAGGTGAGGTGTATAGGGGAAGTGGAGTCTATAGGTAGTGAGGTGTATAGGGGGAGTGGAGTCTATGGGTGGGTGAGGTGTATAGGGGAAGTGGAGTCTATAGGTAAGTGAGGTGTATAGGGGAAGTGGAGTCTATGGGTAAGTGAGGTGTATAGGGGAAGTGGAGTCTATAGGTAGGTGAGGGTATAGGGGAAGTGGAGTCTATGGGTAAGTGAGGTGTATAGGGGAAGTGGAGTCTATAGGTAGGTGAGGTGTATAGGGGAAGTGGAGTCTATGGGTAGTGAGGTGTATAGGAGAAGTGGAGTCTCTATGGGTAGTCTATAGGGGGTAAGTCTCTAGGTAGGTGAGGTGTATAGGGGAAGTGGAGTCTATGGGTGGGTGAGGTGTATAGGGGAAGTGGAGTCTATAGGTAGGTGAGGTGTATAGGGGAAGTGGAGTCTATAGGTAGGTGAGGTGTATAGGGGAAGTGGAGTCTATGGGTAAGGTGAGGTGTATAGGGGAAGTGGAGTCTATAGGTAGGTGAGGTGTATAGGGGAAGTGGAGTCTATGGGTAGGTGAGGTGTATAGGGGAAGTGGAGTCTATGGGTAGGTGAGGTGTATAGGGGAAGTGGAGTCTATAGGTAGGTGAGGTGTATAGGGGAAGTGGAGTCTATGGGTGGGTGAGGTGTATAGGGGAAGTGGAGTCTATAGGTAGGTGAGTGTATAGGGGAAGTGGAGTCTATAGGTAGGTGAGGTGTATAGGGGAAGTGGAGTCTATGGGTAGGTGAGGTGTATAGGGGAAGTGGAGTCTATATGGTAGTAAGTGAGGTGTATAGGGGAAGTGGAGTCTATGGGTAGGTGAGGTGTATAGGGGAAGTGGAGTCTATAGGTAGGTGAGGTGTATAGGGGAAGTGGAGTCTATGGGTAAGTGAGGTGTATAGGAGAAGTGGAGTCTATGGGTAAGTGAGGTGTATAGGGGAAGTGGAGTCTCTAGGTAGGTGAGGTGTATAGGGGAAGTGGAGTCTATAGGTAGGTGAGGTATATAGGGGAAGTGGAGTCTATAGGTAGGTGAGGTATATAGGGGAAGTGGAGTCTCTAGGTAGGTGAGGTGTATAGGGGAAGTGGAGTCTCTAGGTAGGTGAGGTATATAGGAGAAGTGGAGTCTATGGGTAGGTGAGGTGTATAGGGGGAGTGGAGTCTATGGGTAGGTGAGGTGTATCGGGGAAGTGGAGTCTCTAGGTAGGTGAGGTGTATAGGGGAAGTGGAGTCTCTAGGTAGGTGAGGTGTATAGGGGAAGTGGAGTCTATAGGTAGGTGAGGTATATAGGGGAAGTGGAGTCTATAGGTAGGTGAGGTATATAGGGGAAGTGGAGTCTATAGGTAGGTGAGGTATATAGGGGAAGTGGAGTCTATAGGTAGGTGAGGTGTATAGGGGAAGTGGAGTCTATAGGTAGGTGAGGTATATAGGGGAAGTGGAGTCTATAGGTAGGTGAGGTATATAGGGGAAGTGGAGTCTATAGGTAGGTGAGGTATATAGGGGAAGTGGAGTCTATAGGTAGGTGAGGTGTATAGGGGAAGTGGAGTCTATGGGTAGGTGAGGTATATAGGGGAAGTGGAGTCTATAGGTAGGTGAGGTATATAGGGGAAGTGGAGTCTATAGGTAGGTGAGGTGTATAGGGGAAGTGGAGTCTCTAGGTAGGTGAGGTATACAGGGGAAGTGGAGTCTCTAGGTAGGTGAGTTATATAGGGGAAGTGGAGTCTATAGGTAGGTGAGGTATATAGGGGAAGTGGAGTCTATGTCTTATGGTCAGATTTCTTCCCTTTATCTTGAAGTCGCTCGTTGCTCCTCTCCTTCGCAGTGTTCATCTACTCCATGCCGGGATACAAGTGCAGTATAAAGGAGCGCATGCTGTACTCCAGCTGTAAGAACCGTCTCCTGGAGTCCGTGGAGCAGGAATACCAGCTGGACATCGCCAAAAAGGTACCATTGAAGGATAAACATTCCCGCTTCATTTCGGGTCTTCCTGGGGGGATGGGGGATTAAAAATCTTTATTTTATGAAAAAAATTTTAAAACATCTTTTTTTTTCCACTTTAATATCATTGTATTATTATTTTTTTTTATAAATAAATTTATTGGTATCACAAGGGGACAAACAGTCCCCCTATATGGAGACATCAGGGTTCCTTTAGACCCCTGATATCTCCTCTCCCCTGCCCTCCAAAGTAGCTAACCAAGCACAGGTCGTGAATGACGGTAAGTTTGTCACTTCTGGGATCATTCTTCATGGAGGAGATGGGGGAATGGATGTTCCTCCATCTCCCCTGTGGCCAGTCATTTCAACCACTTACCGTAGTCCTGGGCTCCCTGATTGGGTGGATGTACGGCCATCACTGTACAAGAAAGCTGGTCACTGGCTAAAAAAAATAATACCAGGATCACGGCTGCAGCTGCTGACCGCTTATTGGCCGGGACATTTTAATACGTAGATTGGTTGGCAAGTGGTTAATTATGGCAGGTCTGGTCACCTGGTTAATCTGGAGACTTTGAGACCCCAGTCCTTGGTGGTTCCCCTCCACAACATAAAGGTTTTCACGAGATAAATCATACACTTAGGAATTCGCTGAAGCAGCAATAATTACAGGAGACATTCATTTCTGTTATCTCGGAACACCTCATTAACATGACTGACCTCCAGGTTCCCAAATACCTCACTTGTAGAACAAGGAGATTACCTGTCTCCATGACATTCCAAGAATCCCAACAACAGCTGTCTGTTCTTACAGTTTTTTGCAAGGTCGTTCTGACAAACGAACCTGTTATTATATAAGGAACCTGACATTAGCATATAAGCACTTAAAGTGTTACTAAACATTCACTATATCCGCTCTCCCCGGACCCCGCATTCACTATATCCGATCTCCCCGGACCCCGCATTCACATATCCGCTCTCCCCGGACCCCGCATTCACTATATCCGCTCTCCCCGGACCCCGCATTCACTATATCCGCTCTCCCCGGACCCCCCGCATTCCCCACCATATCCGCTCTCCCCGGACCCCGCATTCACCATATCCGCTCTCCCCGGACCCCGCATTCACTATATCCGCTCTCCCCGGACCCCGCATTCACTATATCCGCTCTCCCCGGACCCCCCCGCATTCACTATTATCCGCTCTCCCCGGACCCCGCATTCACTTCACTATATCCGCTCTCCCCGGACCCCGCATTCACTATATCCGCTCTCCCCGGACCCCGCATTCACTATATCCGCTCTCACCCCTGACCCCGCATTCACTATATCCTCTCCCCGGACCCCGCATTCACTATATCCGCTCTCCCCGGACCCCGCATTGACTATATCCGCTCTCCCCGGACCCCGCATTGACTATATCCGCTCTCCCCGGACCCCGCATTGACTATATCCGCTCTCCCCGGACCCCGCATTGACTATATCCGCTCTCCCCGGACCCCGCATTCACTATATCCGCTCTCCCCGGACCCCGCATTCACTATATCCGCTCTCCCCGGACCCCGCATTGACTATATCCGCTCTCCCCGGACCCCGCATTGACTATATCCGCTCTCGCCTCCCCGGACCCCGCATTGACTATATCCGCTCTCCCCGGACCCCGCATTGACTATATCCGCTCTCCCCGGACCCCGCATTTCACTATACCCCGCTCTATATCCGCTCTCCCCGGACCCCGCATTCACTATATCCGCTCTCCCCGGACCCCGCATTCACTATATCCGCTCTCCCCGGACCCCGCATTCACTATATCCCTCCCCGGACCCGCTCTCCCCGGACCCCGCATTCACTATATCCGCTCTCCCCGGACCCCGCATTCACTATATCCGCTCTCCCCGGACCCCGCATTCACTATATCCGCTCTCCCCGGACCCCTGCTATATCCGCTTCACTATATCCGCTCTCCCTGGACCCCGCATTTACTATATCCGCTCTCCCCGGACCCCGCATTCACTATATCTCTCTCTCCGCCCCGGACCCCGCATTCACTATATCCGCTCTCCCCGGACCCTGTATTCACTATATCCGCTCTCCCCGGACCCCGCATTCACTATATCCGCTCTCCCCGGACCCCGCATTCACTATATCCGCTCTCCCCTGGACCCCGCATTCACTATATCCGCTCTCCCCGGACCCCGCATTCACTATATCCGCTCTCCCCGGACCCCGCATTCACTATATCCGCTCCCCCCGGACCCCGCATTCACTATATCCGCTCTCCCCGGACCCCGCATTCACTATATCCGCTCTCCCCGGACCCCGCATTCACTATATCCCTCTCCCTCCCCCGGACCCCGCATTCACTATATCCGCTCTCCCCGGACCCCGCATTCACTATATCCGCTCTCCCCATATCCGCCTCTCCCCGGACCCCGCATTCACTATATCCGCTCTCCGACCCCGCATTCACTATATCCGCTCTCCCCGGACCCCGCATTCACTATATCCGCTCTCCCCGGACCCCGCATTCACTATATCCGCTCTCCCCGGACCCCGCATTCACTATATCCGCTCTCCCCGGACCCCGCATTCACTATATCCTCTCTCCCCGGACCCCGCATTCACTATATCCGCTCTCCCCGGACCCCGCATTCACTATATATCCCCGGACCCCGCATTCACTATATCCCCGGACCCCGCCACTATATCCTCTCTCCCCGGACCCCGCATTCACTATATCCGCTCTCTCCCGGACCCCGCTCTGCATTCACTATATCCGCTCTCCCTGGACCCCGCATTTACTATATCCGGTCCCCCCGGACCCCGCATTCACTATATCCGCTCTCCCCGGACTCTGTATTCACTATATCCGCTCTCCCCGGACCCCGCATTCACTATATCCGCTCTCCCCTGGACCCCGCATTCACTATATCCGCTCTCCCCGGACCCCGCATTCACTATATCCGCTCTATTACTCCGCTCTCCCCGGACTCTGTATTCACTATATCCGCTCTCCCTGGACCCCGCATTCACTATATCCGCTCTCCCGCATTCACTATATCCGCTCTCCCCGGACCCTGCATTCACTATATCCGCTCTCCCCGGACCCCGCATTCACTATATCCGCTCCCCGGACCCCGCATTCACTATATCCGCTCTCCCCGGATCCCCCGGCTGTATTCACTATATCCGCTCTCCCCCCTGGCTCTCCCCCCGCATTCACTATATCCGCTCTCCCTGGACCCCGCATTCACTATATACTCCCTGTACGCTCCCAGCACGGTAACCGGCTGGCATTAGAAAGCTCCCAATGCGCATACGTGTGATCGTGAGTTTTCCAATCATGTGACCACTGTGACTGCCAATCACAGGGGTCACATGATTGGAATCTCTGCCTTCCGGCATTTAGAACCTCTTAAAGGGCCAGGAGGTGGCGGTGGGAAGGGGTTACAGTGGTTGCAACAGCTGAAGGATTTTTGTTATCTTCATGTATTCTACGTATGAAGGTAAAAAACCTTCTGTGTGCAGCATCTCCCCCAGCCCCCCCCCTAATACTCACCCGAGCCCCCTTCTTGATCCAGCGATGTGCACAAGAGCCTTGGCTGTCCCTCGACTCTCTCTCCTCATTAGCTGAGACATCAGCGGGAGCCATTGACTCAATCACAGCCAAGGAGCAGGGGGCAGAGCCGAGCCGCGGCTCTGTGTCCTATGGATGCTTGGGAGCGAGCACGCACCAGTGCCCCCATAGCAAGCAACTTGCTATTTGGGGCACTGGTCAAGGGGGGAGCAGCCAGGAGTGCCGTCAGGGGACCCGAGAAGAAGAGGATTGGACCATTGCACAGAGCAGATAAGTACGACATGCCTGATATGGACCTTTATTAGCACTTTAGGTATAAAAATCGTTCTATCATTCGTCATTCCTATTGGCTTCGGATACATTTTGTAGAAGTGATACATTGTCTTCTTCTTTACCTTCTCTAGATTGAAATCGAAGACGGGTCTGAATTGACGTCCGAGTTCCTCTACGACGAAGTCCACCCCAAACAACACGCCTTCAAACAGGCCTTCGCCAAACCCAAGGGACCCGCCGGGAAGCGCGGCCAAAAGCGCCTTATCAAAGGCCCCGGGGAAAACGGAGAGGACAGTTAAATGGGGGCGAATCCCACCCTGATCCGGGCTTCCGTTGATTGGCAGGATGGGGCCTGCGCCGCGTGCGGGATCCTCTTTGGGTTATTTTGCTTCCTCCGCGATACGGCAGGTTGGGTTGGTGTGGTTGGGCCCCAGGAAACCTCTGCCCCTCCCCCCCATCCTTTTCAACCTTTTTTTCCCCACTCGTGGCTTGTTCCATTCAGATAAATCCTTTTAATTTTTTTTTTTTTTTTTTTTTTCTTTTGTAAAACTTTTCTGCTTTTGTCTACGCCAGAATGATGTGGGAGCTGGTGAAAAATTTCCCGCGCATGCTCATTTCACAGAGATGCTTCAACGTGCCTCTTTCTTGTGTCAATGTACAAATCCTAGAGGTCCAAAATAAAATTTTTTATATATATATATATATATATATATATATATATATATATATATGGTTCCGCTGATCCTCTGGACATGCTGGATTCTCGATGGAGTTCTGAGTTGCCACTTTCCACGTAGCGCCGCCATTGCCCGCTTTTCCCGCCTGTTAATGTTTTATTTCGTTGGAGTTGCACAATCGATATCTAATGTTACATTTCGTGAAATCGCTTCCAATACTTGAACAGAAAAATTCTATTCTTTGGGGGGGGGGGGGGGGGGGGGGGGGGGGAATAGGGGGCGCTATATTATCATGATACATTTCTGAACAAAGGACAATAAATTCTCTCTTTGCTCCGTATTTTGGCCGTACGCGACGCATACAGCGGGCGGACGCGGTTGTTGCCGCTGCTTCTCTTTTGGTCAGACGCTTACTGCCAGACATGTTGAGGCTGCTGATGTCATCCGGGACTGTTTCAATTCTCTCCTGGGGGTGGTCTACATTCCAGACAATAGCAGTAGTTGACGATCGGAATCTAACGTTGAAAAGAATCAAATGATTTCACCCATAGCCCTGTATTTTCTATAGAAAGAAAAAAAAAAAAAAACTAAATAAATAAACTTGTTTTTTAAATACTTTGACTTGGTGTGGTTTCATCGTGGAATGGAATGCTTTGTAGTGAACTTGTCATTAAAATGTATACAAAGGCCAACTCTGTGTTTTTAGTGCCGTCTGGGTTCCCCCAGGTTCCAGTTTCCCCGGATCAGAATGATGAGTTGCCATGGTGTAGATGGGTTTTGCCCCGGGTCAGCGGCATGAGTTGCCATGGTGCGGATGGGCTTTCTTCTGGATCAGCATCATAAGTTGCCATGGTGCAGACTGGTTTTGCCCCAGATTTGCATCATGAGTTACCATGGTGCAGATGGTTTTGCCCCAGATTTGCATCATGAGTTGCCATGGTGCTGATGGGCTGTCCCTTGAATCGGTGTCATGAGTTGCTATGGTGCAGATGGGCTTTGCCCCGGATAAGCATCATGAGTTGCCATGGTGCTGATGGGTTTTCCCCTGGATCAGTGTTATGAGTTGATATGGTGCAGACCTGCTTTGCCCTGGATCAGCATCATGAGTTGCCATGACACGGATTGGCTTTTCCTTGGATCAGCAACATAAGTTGCCATGGTGCAGACGAGCTTTGCCACTGATCAGAGCTATATGTTGACATGGTGCAGACAGGCTTCTCTCCGGATCAGTGTCATGAGTTGCCATGGTGCTGATGGGCTGTCCCTTCAATCAGTGGCATGAATTGCCATGGTGGAGATGGCCTTGACCTGGATCAGCGTCATGAGTTGCCATGGTGCAGAGGGGCTTTGCCCCGGATCAGCGTCATGAGTTACCATGGTGCTAATGGGCTTTGCCCCAAATCAGCGGCATGAATTGCCATGGTGCAGATAGGCTTTCCCCTGGATCAGTGTCATGAGTTGCCATGGTGCAGACAGGCTTTGCCCCGGATCAGCGTCATGAGTTGCCATGGTGCTAATGGGCTTTGCCCCAAATCAGCGACATGAATTGCCATGGTGCAGATGGGCTGTCCCCTGGATCAGTGTCATGAGTTGCCATGGTGCAGATGGGCTGTCCCCTGGATCAGTGTCATGAGTTGCCATGGTGCAGATGGGCTTTGTCCAGGATCAGTGTCATGAGTTGCCATGGTGTGGACGGGCTTTTCCCTGGATCAGTGTCATGAGTTGCCATGGTGCTGACGGGCTTTTCCCCGGATCAGTGTCATAAGTTGCCGTGGTTTGGATGGGCTTTCCCCTGGATCAGTGTCATGAGTTGCCATGGTGCAGATGGGCTTTGTCCAGGATCAGTGTCATAAGTTGCCGTGGTTTGGTCGGGCTTTTCCCTGGATCAGTGTCATGAGTTGCCATGGTTTGGACGGGCTTTTCCCTGGATCAGTGTCATGAGTTGCCATGGTGCAGAGGTGCCAGCCACCAACACCATGACAACCAATGGCACTCTAGGGCAGGAGGCAGAGCGTCATTCATTGCTATGGTGTTAGTGGCTGGGCTCATTTGCATCGTGGCAATGAATGACTCTGTTCCAGAGCTAGCAGCATGTAGGGCTTCCTCCAGCATTCAGGAAAAGATGTAGGGCTACCTCCTCCAGGCTACCTTCACCTCCTGCCTTCTGCCACACTGCTGGAGCCAATAGGCAGTGCTTGATATGAAGAGGGGACTATGTGACTGGGGGCTTTGTGATTGGATGCATGTTTGATTAGAGGACTCTTTGATGGGGTGCTGTGTGGCTATGGGGATCTGTGGTGGAGGGACTCATGTATAGGGAGGGTCTAAAGTGATGAGGGGGGCTCTGACATGAAGGGGTGACTCTGACATGAAAGGAGGACTCTAATGTGATGGGGAACCTCTGACATGATGGGGGTCCTCTGATGTAAAGGGGGGATTCTGGTGTAAAAAGGGGACTCTAACGTGGAGGGAGGCTCTGATGTCATGGGGGAACCTTGGATGTGATAGGGGAACCTCTGATGTTAAGGGGGTGGCTTCTGTTGTGTTGGGTGACCTCTGATGTGATGTGGGGGCTTCTGATGTGATGGAGGGGCTTCTGATGTGATGGGGGGGGGGGCTTCTGATGTGATGGGGGAACCTGCAATGTGATTGGGGAGGACCTCTGATGTGATGGGGGAACCTCTGATATAAAGGGGGTGACCTCTGATGTGATGGGTGACCTCTGATGTGATGGGAGAACCTCTGATGTGAAGGGGGTGGATTCTGATGTGATGGGGATCCTCTGATGTGATGGGGTGACTTCTGGTGTGATGGGAGAGCTTTCATGTGAAGGGGGAACATCTGATGTGAAAGGAGGGACCTTTGATGTGAAGGGGGAGCCTCTGATGTGAAGGGGTGGCTTCTGATGTGATGGGGGAACCTGTGATGTGATGGGGGACCTCTGATGTGAAGGGGGGACCTCTGATGTGGGGGGGACCTCTGATGTGATGGGTGACCTCTGATGTGAAGGGGGTGGATTCTGATGTGATGGGTATCCTCTGGTGTGATGGGAGAGCTTTCATGTGAAGGGGGGAACCTCTGATGTGAAAGGGTGGCTTCTGATGTGATGGGGGAACCTGTGATGTGAAGGGGGGACCTCTGATGTGGGGGGGGGGGACACCTCTGATGTGATGGGAGGACCTCTGATGTGAAGGGGGACCTCTGATGTGAAGGGGGGATCTCTGATGTTGGGGGGGGGGGGACCTCTGACGTGATGGGAGGACCTCTGATGTGGTAGGGGGACCTCTGATGTGAAGGGGGGGGACCTCTGATGTGATGGAAGGACCTCTGATGTGGTAAGGAGACCTCTGATGTGATGGAGGACCTCTGATGTGGTGGGGGGACTTCTGATGTGATGGAGGACCTCTGATGTGGTGGGGGGACTTCTGATGTGATGGAGGACCTCTGATGTGGTGGGGGGACTTCTGATGTGATGGGGGACCTCTGATGTGGTGGGGGGACCTCTGATGTGATGGGGGATCTCTGATGTGATGAGAGGACCTCTGATGTAGTGGGGGTACCTCTGATGTGAAGGGGGGGAACCTCTGATGTGATGAGAGGACCTCTGATGTGAAGGGGGGGGGGGGCCTCTGATGTGAAGGGGGGGGGACCTCTGATGTGAATGGTGGTTTCTGGTTTGAAGTACATTTCTGTAGGATAGGTGGGTAGGTTGCCCCAGGCTCGGCCTTCCCATTGATAAGTAACATTCACATTTTACATCGGGGACCTCCAGATTTTGTAGACTTTCAAAGGATCGGAGAACCGTCCAGACACAAAAACAGTCCAGTGTGTTCCGGGACCTCCCCCTTGAGTGTTGATAGTGATGGTGCTCCTCACCTGAAATCATTCTTAGTTACATCTCATTCTTTAGTTGGAACACCTACAGGAATATTCATTTGTTCAGTACTTGGTTTGGGCTTCCCTTGTGGGGTCCTGTAGTTCCCAAGCATGGGGGTCTCCCACAGACTCTGATGAATGGGACAGCAATGCATGGACTTACCTCTAGAAGCATAGCTCCCAACTGCCCCTGATTTCGAGGGACTGTCCCTGACCCTATGCTTACATACTTTTACTAATCGGTGTCCCTCGTTCCCAATTTCAGAACGTTGGGAGCAGGGGCGGACTGACAACTCATGGGGCTCCCGGGCAATAGGGGATCATGGGGCCCCTGTGTCCTTGCCCAAACTCAAGCCTATGAAAAAGGTACCAAGGGCATCTCATGGGGCCCCCTACTGACCCCGGGCCCTCAGGCAGTGCCCGAGTTTCCAAATGGTCAGTCCGCCCCTGGTTGGGAGGCATGTAGAGGCCCTGTCTCCTGGAGTGTCAGGTGGGTTCTCATGACCCACTTTGGTCCCCCCAGCTCACCAGTTCTGCATTGCTCCGGTGCTGGTTCTAGAACACATAGACACTCCCCAGCACCCAGCCGGCCCATTGTGGCTGAGAATACAGGTCATAGTAAGTAGGAGGACCCTGTGCTTGCCAAGAAGGCAACAAAATAGCAGTTTAAACGATTATCTTGTGTAGGAGTGTTCCACGGTTAGCGATTCTGACCTGGTCGTATGTCGGAGAGTTCCACGGTTAGC